CTAAAACAAGGACTGTTTAGGCCTCATGCACACTGAATGTTATAAAAACGCGAGTATAATTAGCTGTATTAAAAACCTGAGTTTTGTTGCGTTTTTTAGTGTTTTTGCATTAGCTTTTTTCAACTTTTTTTGTGTTTTTCAGCATTTGTGTTTTTTAGCAAAATTATACTCCCACAAAATCTTCAGGCTCAAAAAACTCCTCTTGAAACCCACTAGTTCTGGGGTTTTTTCCAGTCAGAAAACGCTCCTGCCAAAAAACGCTGATTAAAGCCTATGTGTGCATAAACGCATAGGATAACATGCTGGGGAGTTTACTGGCTGTAGGAAACAACACTAGAAGCCAAAAACAGCAGCTGTAGAAACATCTAGTGTGCATGTGGCCTTTAAATAAAAGTAAAATGTGGCATCATGTTTTATTTATTTAGAAGAACAATGAGGCAAGTGCGCAAAGTGTAACATTAAACCTGTACATCTTTGTGACTGATATAATAAAATCAATATAGCTGCCTCATGCATTGCAATGTGTCCATCTCAGGGCCATGAAAAACTCTGGCTATTGGAACAACAAATATCCTATACAGAAGGGCATTTACACATAATCTTCAACCTATATATAGGCAGGTCAACTGACCAATGGTAAACCAGAGACATGGGCTGTTTAGTAATGTGAAAATTTGAATGCAAAATACTTCAGCTAAGGGCAACCAGTGTGCATTCATCCTTCATTGATTTCTGTGATTTAACCACTTGCCTACCAGGTACTTTTACCCCCTTCCTGCCCGGCCAATTTTCAGCTTTCAGTGTTGTCGCACTTTGAATGACAATTGCGCGGTCATTCAACACTGTACCCAAACAAAATTTTTATAATGTTTTTGAGACTAATAGAGCTTTCTTTTGGTGATATTTATATTTCAATATTTTTATTGAGAAATAAACATATTAAAACAAGATGGCTAACAATAAAAGAAAAGAAAAAAAAAAGAAAGGGCCCACCAACAAAATGGAACCAGATTCAGAATCATAAACATAATACTGGTAGGTAAAAAAAAAAAAAAAAAAAAAAAAAAAAAAAAAAGAAATTTAGCAGATAATAGCATTACAATGCACATGAAAAAAGTCAAAGCCATCAAAATATACAAGTTTCAAAGATCAATAAACAACAATTATAGCAAAATAGACCAAAAATAACAAAGAAAAATAAAAATGTTTAACAAATAGTAGGAAAAGAGAAAAAAAGAGGAAAAATAGAGAAAGGAGGGGGGGGGGGGGGGGGGGTCAGCTGCCAGACACTCACGATACAGTAATATAAGCAATCCAAGGATCCCAAGTCCTCTCAAATCTGGACACATCATCAGAGACGATACTCGTCAGTTTATCATTAACCATTATCCAGTTCAGTTTTTGTTTCACCCTATCCAGCGGGATCAAAGATTGCTTCCAACTCCTAGCTATAGTAATGCGAGCCGCCAATAAGATATATACAATTAGTTTAATCGATCTTTTGGGAACATCAGAGGGTAGTATATTAAACAAGGCTACTTCCGGCGATCTACGGATATTAATTCCTGTCACTGAGTAAAGAAAATTAAATATGCGGATCCAGAACCTACTCACGACTGGGCATTTCCACCAGACATGGAACATAGTACCCTCTTGACCACAGCGTCGGAAACAGGCAGAAGAAACGGAAGGATACATAATGGCTAGGCGAGCAGGGACCAAATACCACCGAAGTAGCGTCTTGTAATTAGATTCAACAAGATCAGTGTTAATCGAAATCTTCGATAAGGCATGGGCCGCCGTCCGCCAGGTATCCAAATCCAATGAACTATTTAAATCCCGTTCCCATAAAGTCATGTAAGACAATTTTGTTAGAGGATCAACCAACAAAGCATAAACAATGGACAAGCGACCCCGCATTACCCCACTCGCCCCACAGGAGACCTCGAGGGAAGTAAGCGCACAAGGTTCTGTGAGTAGTCTAAGTTTGCTATCAATAAAAGAGCGAAGTTGATGGTAACGAAATATCTCTCCACGAGGCATCCCACAAAAATTCACAAAATACTGACGAGACCGAGGGCGAACCCCATCTAAATAATCACCAATACGTAGCAAACCCTTATTAATCCACCATTGGAACCCCGCGAAAGACAAACCCGGAACAAACTCAGGATTACCAAACACCGGAGCCAACGGAGTATGCGGAGAGAAAAAAGGTTTACGAGCTCGCCATCTATCCCACACTGACAATGAATAAGATAGAGTAGGACACAAAATAGGAGGGCGCAATCTATTGGGAAGCCACATGAGAGTACCAATAGCATATGGACGGCACGAAAGAGCCTCAATCCCAACCCATTGGGGGACATATCCCCTGGCCGTAGTACAAGATAATTGTGCTATTTGGGCCGCCTGAAAATATGCGAAAAGATTAGGGAGTCCCAAACCACCATGCCTCTTCAAAGAAAACAAGGTAGATTTGTTCAGCCTAGGGCGCTTTCCCCTCCAAACAAATCTGGAGACTGCAGCCTGCAGGAAGACTAGTTCTCGTTTGGGAATCAAAATTGGTAACGTCCTAAAATAGTATAATAATCTAGGTAGGAAGGTCATTTTAATAGAATTAATTCTACCGAACCAGGAAAGAGAAAGATCCTGCCAGGCTAATAAGTCATTCTTAAGTCGCTTGAAAAGCGGGATATAGTTGGCCTGGTATAGCGTCGATACAGATTTCGTAAGAAGAATCCCCAGATAGGGGAGAGAACCAGGAGCCCACTGAAAAGCAAAGTTTTCCCGGCAGTAGCGAACCTCTGAATCGGGTAAAGAGATATTCAAAGCAACAGTTTTAGAGGAGTTGAGCGTAAGACCGGAGACCTCAGAAAAACGATGAAACAGATGGAAGAAACCAGGTAGAGACGTTCGAGGATCAGATATATACATAAGAACATCATCGGCAAATAGGGCACATTTATGAACCCTTTGACCACAGATAACACCCGATATAGAGGAATCAGCGCGAATAGCAATCGCAAGAGGTTCCATCGCCAATGCAAAGAGCAACGGAGAAAGAGGACATCCCTGTCTAGTTCCTCGCTCTATCGAAAAAGGAACTGATTTATGTCCACGAATGGATACCTGAGCTGACGGGGTAGAATAGAGGGCCTCTTTTGGTGATATTTAATCACCACTGGGTGTCACGGTCTCCCTCTCTCTCTCCTTCATCCTCCTCCCTCCTGTCACGGCTCCCCCTTCGCTCTCCTTTATCCTCCCCCCTCCCTTCCTCTTACAAGTCCCTACATCAGGCACAAGCCTACATCAAAGGCTGTGCCAGACATCAGAGATCTGCCCCCTGCGGTGAGGTTTACACCTCTCCTTGGCCGGACTTGGAGGAGTCTGACACTGCGCTGTGCTTGCACATAGATTTTCCACGTGGTGGCCACCTGGGTGTCTCTGCGTGCCCCCCTCCCTTTGTCTCGGTGGGCACAGCGCGGCCCCGAGTTTTCCATGCTCTGCACCCGCCGGAGACAAAGGCCGCGCACCCTGGGAAATCCTACGCCGGGGCAACCCGGAAGCATCCTGCTCCAACGATAAAAGACCGGAGCAGGACCCGGGTAGGGAGTTTGTCCCCCGCTCGGGACAGGGTGCTGTGTGTGGTCTGAGCTGAGGCCAGAACCCACAGTCAGGATCCCCAATGAGTCCCTGTAGGCCTGCTGTTGTCCCTGGAAAGCTGTCTTCTGTGAGGGTCCCTGTCTGCTGATGGCTGGTTGTCCCTGGAAGGCTGAGTACCATGAGGGTCCCTGTCTGCTGATCGCTGGTTGTCCGTGGAAATCTGAGTACCGCGAGGGTCCGTCTGCTGATCGCTGGTTTTCCCTGGAAGGCTGAGTACCATACGGGTCCCTGTCTGCTGATCGCTGGTTGTCCCTGGAAGACTGAGTACCATGAGGGTCCCTGTTTGCTGATCGCTGTTGTCCTTGGAAAGCTGAGCACCGTGAGGGTCCCTGTCTGCTGATTGCTGGTTGTCCCTGGAAGGCTGAGTACCGTGAGGGTCCCTGTCTGCTGATCGCTAGTTGTCCCTGGAAAGCGATCCGTGTCTGCTGACCGTTGGTTGTCCCTGGAAAGCTGTTCCTGTCTGCTGACCGCTGTTGTCCCTGGAAAGCTAAGTACAGTGAGGGTCCCTGTCTGCTGATCGCTGGTTGTCCCTGGAAAGCTGTTCCTGCCTGCTGACCGCTGTGTCCCTGGAAAGCTGAGTGCTGCACGGGTCCCTGTCTCCTGACTGCTGTGTGCCTCTGGGAAGTTACCCCTGCCTAAACCGTGAGTGCTCATATTCTCCTGCCTGAACTGGCCCATTGAATCCATATATTGCCCTGTCTGGACTGCCCCACTGAATGCACCCATACTTTCCCTGCCTGGACTGCCTCATTGAATCTATTATCTTTGCCGGAACTCCCCACTTGGATTAATACTTGCTCGGACTGCCTATTGCATGTCTGGATTATCGTAGCTACCTGGACTGCCCCCCCCCCTCTGAGTGCTCGGGCCATCGACACCCGAATCACCCTATCGTGGGCCGGATTATAACTGTTTGGACTCTTCCCCCCTTTTGGGTCCTGGCTGCTACCTTCCTACAGTGATTGAGTGCCTCTCCCATTTCAATAAAACTTTGTGTGTTTATCATCCTCCGTGTGCGTTCTGTCCCGCGTACTCTTCCGTCACACTGGGTTTTTTATTTTTTGCTAAACAAACTAAAAAAGACTGAAAACTTAGTTTTTTCTCAGTTTCTGTATAAAATTTAGTAAATATGTAATTTTTCTCCTTCACTGATGTGTGCTAATGAGGCTGCAGTGATAGGCACTGACAGCATCATTGATGGACACTGAAAGGCAGCACTGATGGGCACTGATATGTGGCACTGATAGGCACTGATATGTAGCACTGATAGGCGGCAATAGTGGACACTGATAGGTGGCACTGATCAGCACTGATGAGGAGGCACTGATAAGTGGCACTGATGGGCATTGACAGGCAGCACTGATGGGCACTGAAAGGCAGCACTGATATATGGCAGGGATAGGTGGCACTGACTGGCACTGATTGAAACTGTTAGGTGGCACTGATGGGTACTGATAGGTGGCACTGACTGGCACTAATAGGCATCCCTGAAAGGCAGCTCTGATGGGCACTGGTATGTGGCATTGATATGCACTGGTATATGGCATTGATAGGCACTGACAGGCAGCAATTATGGGAACTGAAAGGCAGCACTGATGGGGCTACACTGATAATCAGGACACTGATGATCAGTGTAAATGTCCCCTCTGAGAAATGCTGCTTACCGGCTCTCCTCTCCTCAAGCACTGTCAGCATGAGGAAAGGAGAGCTGATAACTGGCATTTCCTATTTACATGTGATCAGCTGTGATTGGACAGCCATCGGCTCTGTCCTGCGACTGGTCATCCACTGTGTCCCAGGGACTCGCCACACTGAGTGCAGCTAGAGTGGGAGGACATCATATGACGTCCTCCCAGTACGAGAAAGCCACTGCCCACCTGTCATTTCCTTATATGGAGGGTGGGAGGCGGTTAAAGAGTTACAAGTTCACTTGACAAGCACTATACTGTATCTACCAAACAACACTACACACATTTTTCGTATCCCCATGGGACATTCTCTGGTATAGACCATGTCTCTGATTCACCCTAAAATTCACCAATAATACTCCTAATAGTACTCTTTGGAATTCCCACAACATCATCAAAGGTCACATAATCCAGTTTGCCTCTCAAATGTAGAAACAACACCTCTGTAGACTTGGGAAAATAGAGACAGAGTCTTCCTTTCTATACCCTATTTCCTGACCTACACAAACAACTGTCCAGTATACAGACTAAACTAAATTTCTGCCTCTCCTCCCAGACTGAAAAACATTTGCAATATATAAAAAATAAATTCTTTTCATTTGGCAATAAGCACCACACTTTCTTGGCAAACAGGTTGCTTTGTCCTGATCCTCTGACAAAACCACTGCATTTGACAATTGGCCATTTGGAATTCATGAGGGACTCCATCAAAATTATTCACAAACCAATAATGAAGCTATAAGAACTTTATTCTCCAATCTACCACCCATTTTTCAGAGGAATTTTCTTACATTTTGGAGACTATTACTGTACATCTAAGATCCAATTGGCTATCAGATCCCTATAAAAATAAGAGACCCAGCCCAGATGGCTTCAGAGCTCTATATTATAGAAAATATGTTGGCATACTGGTGCCTTGATTATTAACACCCTTAATCACTTCAAAACGAGTGGCTTGTTTGATGCAGATGTGCTTACTGCTGTGATCCGCATGCTGCTAAGGAAAATGCAGATACTACCTCCTAGTCTAATTTTCAAGCCATTTCTTTACTTAATCTAGATGCTAAGATCTTAGCTAAGATATTGACTACCTGCCTAACTATGGATATTGAAAATCTATTAGACATCAGGTGAGCTTTATGCCCAAAAGGCAGACAGGTATCCTTCATCTCATTATTTCTCCAAGAAGAGACACTTCCCTAATTTTTTTTGGCTTTGAATATTTAAAACAAAACTTTGATTCAATACTACATTTTTAATGGAAAACTGTGGATTTGGTCCTCATTTTAGAAAATGGATAGGGACACTCTAGAACAAATTTAGAGCTTACATAAAATACTATCTATCTAGACTATCATTGCCCTATCTTCAGGTCCACAGGGGGCCAAGACAGGGATGGCCCTTGACCCCACCTCCCTTTTTTTTGCCTAAGCAATTGAGTCTTTTGCACAAGCAATAAGACAGAATTTAAACACACAAAGGCTGGATATAGCATTCTAGAACCATAACATGTGCTTCTTTGTGGATGATATATTTCTGTTTTTGGCAAATCCCTATCCCCATCTCTCCTAAACTTAATATTAATCTCAGGGTTATGGATTACTAATGATGAATGCTGGGCCCTAAATATATCCTTGCCCCATAATCTATTTCTTCATCTACAAACATTTGCCCATTTTGCTTTGAACAGAGTTTCTTGCTATAGGGATGTTCAGCATGTTTTCCTACAACATTCTGTATAAGGCAAATTATCTTGCATTTTAAAACAACTCTTCCAGCTAAGAAAATCATAGAAAAAAATCAGATTATATGGCTAATCTGCATAATGGTGGTCAAAATGACCTTCCTACCAAAATTGCTATGCTAGTTTCAAGTCCTCCGTATTAAAATCTCCATATTCTGTACTGTGTATTCTTCATAGGTCACTCATTTCCTTTATGTGGAGTAACTCCAGGCTTTGCATAATACCTTTTTTCAAACCTATGCACAGTTAGCTTTCATTTTCCAGAACCAAATGTTTCCATGCAGTTGTACTAATCCAACTCATTTCCAGTCTTCAAGAGCTTATACAGAGTCTTTAATTTATTATTGAAGGTGCCGTTAGCTTCAATTCGCCAAAGCCTGGGATTCCCAGCCATGTAAGTGAACGGTCTGGTGATATCACTGGTTGTTAAGGACCCAGTGGCACTTGCACCTATTGACTCCCTTAACAACCATTGACAGTGGGAAACTTTTATGTATAAGAACAGTAGTATAGTAGTAATCCCATTACTCCAAGTGACATTTGGCTCCCACTGACTGGATAAATGTTTAGACATTTGTTCCATCTCCCAGCGTTTAGTGCAAACTTGTGTTTAGACTGAAACTTAAATTCATCCCTACTGGTACGTGGTTCGGTCCCTTGGGTGACATCATTTCCAGTCGGGCGGCGGCTTCCATCTTGGTACACCTGTTCCTATGTATTTTATTACTAATGCTTGTATGTGTCTGCTGGCTTGATTTGAAAAGTTGAGTATTCTATACCTGGTTTTTATACATTAAACATGGACACATTATACTATGAGATGTCCTTTGATGTTTTTTTGAACATGGATTTCTTATGAGGAATTGGAGAAGGAGCCAGTAAAGTACGCTTACAGAGGAGAGCTGGTTGGATTTTGGGCTGATATTAAAGCGCATTTGACTTTTATTCACTATAAGTCAAAATGGGAGGTGAGTGTGCACGCTAGCTGGTGGAGGATTTTTAAGGGTGATAACTTTTCAAGTCACATGTGGAATATATGCTGATTTGAAGATTATTCTGCATTACAGATCTTGATTTTTATTACATTTACGGACATTTATGCACAGACTGTCACTGGTTTGAGGGATCAGCCGAGTGTTTACTGTTCGTATTTTATTTTAATGTTGTGTGCATTGTTTTATATATATATTTATATATATATATATTTGGGCCCCACATCCACTCACTGGCTAAATCCTGCAGCCTCAACCTCCAGAACATTTCCAAAATCCACCCCTTTTTGACCAATGACACCACAAAACAACTTATCCACACCTTGGTTATATGCCGCCTCGATTACTGCAACTCCCTCCTCACTGGTCTACCGTTACACAGGCTATCCCCCCTTTAGTCTATTATGAATGCTGATGCTAGACTCATACACCTTACCAACCAATCAGCGACTGCTGCCCCTCTCTGCCAATCCCTCCACTGGCTTCCACTAACCCAACGTATTAAAATTCAAAATACTAACCACAGCTTACAAAGCCATCCACAACACTGCCCTTAGCTACATCACCAACCTCATCCACAGATACCGCCCAAATCGCCCACTCCGTTCCTCCCATGATATCCTCCTCTCTAGCTCTCTCATCACCTCCTCCCACACTTGCCTCCAGGACTTCTCCAGAGCCTCTCCCTTCCTCTGGAACTCCCTACCACAGCATGTCCGGTCAGACCCCACCCTGTCTGCCTTTAGGCGATCTTTGAAAACTCACTTCTTCAGGGAAGCCTACTCCACCTAAGAACTGTACTTGAATCACCTCTGCCAGATCATCCCCTGCAGCTATCACCTTTTGTATCACCTCCCCCTTCCTTTAGATTGTAAGCTCCACGAGCGGGGCCCTCCTATTCCTTCCGTAGTGAAATGTATTGTAATTGTACTGTCTCCCTTATATTGTAAAGCGCTGTGCAAACTGTTGGCGCTATATAACTCCTGTATAATAATAATAAAAATAATATATATAATTATTATTTTTTTTTATACCTTGATATATATTACTCAGATTATCTATTTGTGTGTTGAAGTTTCACTTACTGATTTGTTTGTATTTGGTATTGCCTAGCAGGGCATCTAGTCTTTTTGGATATTTTCTTGGTATGCACTTATATCACCTTAGTTAGAGGTTCTGTCAGGTGTTTACTTTTTGCTTTATGTTTAGGTTTAATGAGTATCACACAGGGGCGGACTGACCATTTGGAAACTCGGCCACTGCCCGAGGGCCCGGGGTCAATAGGGGGCCCCATGAGATGCCTCTGGTACCTTTTTCATAGGCTTTTTTGAGTTTGGGCAAGGACAACAGGGGCCCCATGATCCCCTATTGCCAGGGGGCCCTATGAGTTGTCAGTCCACCCCTGGTATCACAGCACTATTTATCTTTTCATTTATTCTGCAAAATATTAAATACATTTTACTAAATTTGAAACCCCAGCACTGTAAAAATACCTAGTTTCACCTCCTTACTTTCCTTTTTATGGCAGCACCGCATGTCCTCAGGCAAAGCTTAGTGGTTCTCCACCCCTAGGGTAAAATATATGTTATCTCCTTAATGAAAGGATAGGTACAATTCTTATTGACAAAATAAGTGTGTTTGAATGGGTTTTGGACCTCTTGGATTGAACATTATTTACCCAAGGACTTTAAACATTCACTATTGACTATCCTGTTTGGATAGCTTGGTCATTCTGCTTGGTCAAATGACTCATATCCACCATTTTGCACTTCCACTTTCCCTCCCCCACCTTCCCTTTCCCCCTAGTGTACCCTACTTCCAATCTTTTACTTCTCTCCCAACTTTCCTAGTGAGTTACTACAGTACAGCTACGCTGTTTCAATAGACTATCTAATGGAGGAACCAAAAATGTGGATTGTAGCAGAGACTTCCTCAGTTCCAGATTATCATTGTCTTGATGCTGTGTATGTACCCATTTGACTGGAATTTCTGTTATGGGTGCATATACTGTAAATCCTTTAACAAAAACATATTAAAACTAATGGCTTAAAAGTTGATATGTTATTAGATATGCATTACTCCATATGGTTACCGCTCTCCACAGTGCTCAAAAACACTTATTCTTTGTTGTTTTTGTTTGAAGCAGTAACCCTCCTTTATCATAGATATCAAGATCATTGTGGTTTACTTTGTTCTGTTTGACTGCAGA